CCAGATAATTTCTTTGTTATACTGTGGGAAAACGGGTGATTGACAAACACAGTAGCTGTTTTCCAGAAGGAAGTCCCTGTAGCTTTCTGCCCAAATTGGGCTTGTCATGCTAATCAACACCCTCATCGCATTTGAGATCACACTCTCCTTTTTTTTTGTTTTAACCCATATTTTACACTTTCCTCTGTCCATCGTGTATGCTTTTTTGGTGCCCAGTTGATTATTGTACATTGTCTTTCTCAATATATTGAAAGTCACAGTCAGTCATGAAAATGCAGTGCTAGGAATAGGGGTAGCATTGATTTAAAAGCCCAATTTCCCAATCCGGATTTCTAATCCAACCACAAATAGTCTGTCACCCACCCACCCATCCATGTGTGTGTGTATATATATATATATATATATATATATATATATATATATACACATAAAGTATTCGGCCCCCTTGAACTTTTCAACCTTTTGCCACATTTTAGGCTTCAAACATAGATACAAAATTGTCATTTTTGGTGAAGAATCAACAAGTGAGACACAATCCTGAAGTGGAAAGAAAATTGATTGGATATTTCAAACTTTTTTAACGAATGAAAAACAGCGTTTTTGGGCGTGCCAAAATTTTTCAGGCCCCTTGAGCTAATACATTCTAGCTCCACATTTTGCTGCGATTACAGATACATGTTGGATATCTGGATATGATTATTTGTGAACCATTCCATTGTAGATCTTGCTTTATGTTTTGGATAATTGTCTTGTTGGAAGTTAGTCTCCGTCTCAGTCTCAGGTCTCTTGCAGACTCCAACAGGATTTCTTCCGGAATGGTCCAGTATTTGGCTCCCTCCATCTTCCCATCTATTTTAAAAAATCTTCCCTGTCCCTACTGAAGAAAAACAGGCCCAAACCATGATGCTGCCACCATGTTTGACACTGGGGACGGTGTGTTCAGGGGGATGAGCTGGATCACTTTCACGCTGAACGTAACGTTTTTGCATCGTGGCCAAAAAGTTCCACGTGTTTTGTTCTGTCTACCGGGTGGATTGTGGCAAACATTAAACAAGATTTTTTTATGGATATCTTTGAGAAATGGCTTTTTTCTTCTTGCCACTCCGTAAAAGCGAGATTTGTGCGGCACGTTTGTCGTCCTATGGACAGAGTCTCCTACCTCGGCTGTAGATTTTTGCAGTTCATCCTGAGTGATCATGGGCCTTGTTGAGTTGAAAGTTCAGAGGGATGGCCGGGTCTTTGTAGATTCGCAGTGGTCTGATACTCTTTCCATTTCAATATTATCGCTCGCACAGTGTCCCTGGGATGTTTAAAGCTCGGGAAATATTTTTTGTATTCAAATCAGGCTTTGAACTTCTCCACAGCAGCATCTCGGACCTGCCCGGTGTTTTCCTTGGTCTTCATGATACTCTATGTGCTTTAAACAGACCTCTGAGAGTTGCATTTATACAGAGACTTGATTACACACAGGTAGATTCAACATTTGGATCATTGAGAGATCCTCACTGAACTTCTGGAGAGAGTTTGCCGCACTGAAAGTAAAAGGGCTGAATACATTTTGCACCCCAAGTTTTTCATTTGTTTACTTGTTAAAAAAAAAGAGTTTGAATTATCCAATAAAGTTCGTTCCACTTCATAATTGTGTCCCACTTGTTGATTTTTCACAAAAAATAAAAATGTTTCTATCTTTATGTTTGAAGCCTGAAATGTGGCAATGGGTCGAAAAGTTCGAGGGGACTGAATACTTTCGCGAGGTACTGTATACATAGTGTTCATATACTGTTTATGTTTATGTGTGTATATACATTCAATACATATTTACAACTGTCATGCATATGCATATGAGGTGGATTTTTTCAGGTTGCTGGTGGTAAATGTTTTTTTATTGGAGAAGCACCTCAATATCCTTGTAGGGATTGGATATCATATACATTTGATCAAAATTGATGTCATCTCATTGTGGTTCACATTTATTATTATTATTATTTTTTTATTTTTTTTATCACGGGTTGCCTCTTAACAGTACATATTTAGATACTGGATTGTGTAAATCCCTCAATTCATGATAAAAAAAGATGAGCTATAAGCATATCTTCTATTTATCAAGAATTTAATTTTTTTCTGTGTTAGAGCTGTTGACAAGTATTAGAAAGTTGTTAGATAATGTAGTAGGAGACATGAATGAAATTCGAGGGATGTTGAGATTCTTACTTGACCCATTAAGTTTCTAAGGGGGTAATATTTACATTGCAACTACAATCGCATTAGAAATCTCATGAGAGATAAACCTTTACGTTAACAGTAGGTCTACCATTTTTATAAGGATGTAAGTGAAGAATAGTGTTCGATAGAGTAAATTATTAATCTTTTACTGTTCAAATGTCATTTTAAACGGACTGCAAGAACAGTAATCCTGTATGCTGCTCTTTCATCTGGGTCCATGCCTTAATCTATGTGATTCTGTTAAAACTAAACACTTCTGCTGTCAAGCCACATTTTTATTAAAGATGTGTAGCAATATTAAGCCAGCGAGAGCTGACTGAATGACCGTACCATGACTCTTGTCAAGTTAAATTTTCAAACTTTGAAAAAAACTCACCTAAAACAATGTTACTGTCTACTAAATTTCAGTGTAGCGTATTTGCCCTTTCATGTGATTAGAATGAAAATTGGTCAAATATCTATCATCATAATCTTGATCAAGATACCATGATATCTCAGAAACTTGGTATGGAGAAGTTCATAGTTACTTTCACAGAACTCTGTCAATGAAAGCTAACTCATCTTGTTGATTTTCCCCAAAAATAAATGGTCAGCCAAGAAACTGTCTATATTGAGCATTTTCATCTTTGTGATCGTATTTTGAGAAAAAAAAACTACTCAGAAAGTAATCCCCCATCCTCTGACAGGAGTTTCTCTAGGGCCTCTGCTTCTTACAGCTCGTCTCATCAAGTTATAACTCTTGTTAACTTAATTTAGATATAATTTGAAGATGATTTGAAGATAACTCATTGTTTGGCAAAGTGGCCCAGGCTTTTTTTCTAAATTATTCTAATATGTCAGATTTTGACTACCAGGATGTAGGGGTTTACATTAAAATATATTCACTGAATTATTTATTCTAATTTGTTTTTATAATACATGTAGTCATTTGAATGGAGATTCAGTTGATAGCATTACGCATTCCATCCATCCATTATCGTAACCGCTTATTCCCCAATGGCTTTACCCATTCCCTAACAAAAAATATCTTTTCCCTAGAACTTTTTTTATTATATGTTTTTTTCCATGGTTTAATACCAATGTTTTTCATACATCGTACAATCAAAAGTTCAAGGATAGTTTTAGAACGTGGACCTTTTTTAAAAAGTCTAAAACAATGTTTGAAAGTACTTTGGTCTTATGTTTCGTTTACGCCAAACTGTCTCTGTAGTTTCGCTTTATTTAAATGTAAGTGAGATCAACTAGCATCCCCTACTGTGTGCACGGTACCCAAATACCATAACTTTGTTTGGAGATTTCTTAACTTTCGAATCTGCATTGCACCGGATTATTCTCAAGGTAATCAGTCTTTTGTATGTGTTGCAATATTTTTTGTTTAAGCCTCTAAAATAAAGACTAGAGTACAAGACAGGAAATGTTTTAAATTGTAATAATTATAACATTAAGCCATTTTAGATTGTATGCTTCACATGATTATAAATACTTCCATATAATCTTACTAAATGATTTTGGTCAAAAAAACAAGATTGATGAAATTTAAAATATTTTTGTAAAGAAAAAACACCTTGTGAACAGACAATAATGATAGAAACTAAACTTTTAAAAGAGAATGTTAAAAGAGCTTTTATGATTTTGTCTCTCAAAAGTGGCTTCATTATACTTTGTTATTCTACATATTATCTTACGTTATAATAGATTTTAATATCACTCTTTGATATCCCTCCTCAAGCTATTTATTACCCCAAATATTGGTTATCATCACACAACATCTTTCTATATAAATAATTTCCCTCTGGGATTATTAAAGTATTTCTGATTCTGATTCTGATTCTGATATAGCACCAGTAATATGTGTGTACAATTTAAGAGAGGGAAAAATTGAGGAAGACTGACTGATAAAATATGTGTTTTTGTTGCTGGGTTTTGCACTTTTGTGTTGAATGTCATGGATTATTATTAAGATATTAAGATACTTAATCAAAGGAAAGGTCAAGAACACGGAACAAAAGATGAAAAATGGTTGAAATTGACCAAGTTTATATTTTTGTTTTAAAAGGAACATATAATTACACCTTGCTCAATTATTTTAATGCACAGTACTCTTTTTTTAATTGAAAAAAATAAATAAAACAAATTCAGTCTCAGTCTTTGGCTGTTTGAACTTTTCCTTGCAACATTGTTGCAAAACTCAGCGAGGGTTCCTGTAAGAATAGGTTCTAGCCTGTGCAGCTCATTTAAGTTTTTGTGTAAGTGGCACCCACAAAATGACTAACAAATTCAGGAAAGCATGTAATACAAAGACAAGAAAACTTAGATGGCCGTAGTGAATGTTGAATTTAATTTTAATAAGCCTTTTTCTTTGTCATGGTTTGGTAAGCAGCTCCTGTTAAAACATAATAATAATATATAAAGATAATCTTTAACTTGATTAAGACATTTTTTAAACTTGCTCGTTAAGGTTAAGAACATTTTCCTTGTTCTTGAGAATAAGCACTTTAGTCCTTTGGGCAAAAAAATATACATTAAATAAAACATGTTCAAATGAGTTAAGTCAAATTTCTAACCTTTTACTTTATTTTCTATTCAACAGAGGGCTAGGTCTCTTTACATTACACCTATCGGCCTTACGGTAATTTGACACCAGTAAACAAAGCAGTCTGGCTATTTCAAAACCAATCGAAATGCTATTTACATCCAGCAACAACCAATGAGATCACGGAACACTTTCAAATGATTGTTGACGCACCCAATTGGAAGTCTTCGCGCCTTCCTGAGTGCTGGTGGATTTTAGCTGAGATGGAGGGTGGCCGAGCTTAACGTCAAACGTTAGCAAAGTTCCTATCGCCAAAAAAATAAGTTTGATTCATTATAACTTCAGCAAATTTCGCTTTTTTTAATGATCACGCTTATTGGAAATATTTGTGCAACATAAGGTAAGTTTCATGTTTACGTTCCATAAGCTTGTGTATCTGAAAAGCAAATAGCTTTACGTTTCTCTTTGTTTTGAATTTGGGGCTAAGCAGTGGCTAACTAAAGCTTGCTGAAACGGTGCTGTTGGTTGAGACTAATTTGTGGAACCTTCACATTTCCCAGCTATTTCACATCTAAATGTTGTTATTGTGTTATTTCAGTGGGTGGGAGCAACCTTTTGTTATATTTTTTAGAATTTCATTTCATTAATTGCTTATTTATAATTAATGTTAGGCTTATTTTGAAATGAACTACGTCTCTGGACGCCTTGTTTGGTAATATTTAGATTGAGATACCATGATAACATTGTGCGGAAATGAGACTTTTTTTGCAGTGCCAAAGGAACATTAAAAAAAATAACGTAATCCTAAAGCTTGGTCAGTATTTCGGTTACGTACATATACGCGTACATGTTCTTGTTTTCTTTAACTTGAATGGAGTCTGAATCTTGTGTTCAACCTTATTTAGAAGTACACACTCGGACACTATTGTTAATGTTTAGAAATGCATTTCAACGTATGGCGTTTTGACTCCTACGTTGATTGTTCACTGCAACAAAACACATTAGAAGGTTAGCGTATGTATCGAGGCAATAGTTTTTCATTGTTGATGTAAAGAAGTCTTATCATAAGTTGTAACTGTCTCTCATTAATTAAGCTAGTCAAGATATAGATGCACGGAATTTAAAAAGCTAAAGTTATCGTCAACCAGTCCTTGTGAGATGCTCTTAGAAATGGAACGGAAGTTTCTAGAACTTTTTTATAAGCAAGACTGTAGTCGACTGTTATGATAATATAAAGGATTGAACGTGAGACAATTCTTGGATATTAATTTCTGTTATGTCCTGGTCAGATGGAAAAATCGTTCAACTTGAACTTATGAAGTTGTCATTTCCTAGGAGGGAGTTTACAACTTGTTTCAATTATAACATTTAAAAAAAGGCAGCTCAATTATATTTTTGCCCACCTGGTTTTTTGTGCTAAAATTCACCCTCTTTATAATATAAAGGTTTTCATTTCCCCTGTCCCATATTCATACCGATACAATAGTTGCAGGTAAAAAATGATTTCAGAAATTTAAATGGTTTCCTTAATATTGTTAAGACTAATTTGTCATTTTAACTTTTTAACAAAAAAAAAGTCATTTTTAATGTTCGACTCTTCCCTCTTCCTTCATTTACCACACCTTAAAGCTGAAATTGTGCAAGAACGCGATGCACTTTTCTTATTTGACATGTAACAAAGAGGATGTTCTTTTTTTTTTTACCTCTGACTCTAGACATGATACATCCTTTTAATGTTATTGTCACACCTAATGCATGGAAACTGGGCTGTCATATTAATTTCTTTAATGGCTTTTGAGATGGATTTTTTGCTTTTGATGTTTGCACAGAATGACTTTTTTCAGTGTTATCAGGGAAAGACAACATGGATGATTTAGTTAATAGATCCGATGTAATGTTTAAGCTAAAATGTTCAGAATTGTGGACATGTGTTTTGCTCAGTATAATGAATCAATTAATTTAGCATTGTCAGAAAAATCTTGAATATAGAACAACTACTTCCCTCCTTTTTAAGGCTCTCCTTAAAATTTGAATAGTGGTTGAATAATGTTCTCTTAATCAATAACCCTTTTTGTGATTGTAAAACCTCAGATCAGATTTTATGGTATTGTTTTATTAGCTTATAGTTAACACGCAGGTTGACTGTTTACCTTTAAATAAAGAATTTCATTGTAAGTAAATGTTTAGCCCAAGATGAGTATTTAGGATGATAAATATGTAAATTTGAATGCATTTGTGGACACCTCTTCAAGCTAGCTTTCGTTAAGACAGTTTTGTGTGTGTACCATTTGAACATAGATAATTGTTTCATTACTTGTAATTGAAATTGCAGTGGGGCAAACAAGTTCAAGTTCTCCTACTGAGAAAGATGAGAGAAGTTTTTTTTTATTCTCATCATGGGTACAATTCAACTGAGAGGTAAAATGAGAAAAAAATCCAGGAAATCACATTGTAGGATTTTTAAAGAATGTACTTGTAAAGTATGGTGGAAAATACATTTTGATCACCCACAAAAAAGCAAGATTTCTGGCTCTCACATACCTGCAACTTCCTCTTTAAGAAGCTCTTCTGTCCTCCACTCATTTCCTATTTTAATGGCATCTGTATGGCCTTGTTATCTTTATAAAAGACAAAGAACTTAACCATGGCCAAGACCAAGACCACAGATCTGTCGAAAAACACTAAGAAGAAAGTTCTAGAACTGCGCCAGGCTGGGAAGACTGAGTCTACAATAGGCAAGCAGGTTGGTGTGAATAAATTTAACTGTAGGAGCAATTACAAGAGAAAGTAGGACATACAAGACCAATGATAATCTCCCTCGATCTGTGGCCCTGCGAAAGATCTCATTCCTCGTCCCCCTGTTTAAGCCAGTATATGGCCGGGCCCATTTGAAGTTTGCCAGCGAGCATATGGATGATCCAGAGGCAAACTGGGGGATTATCATGTGGTATGATGAAACCATATAAATATACACGCTGGCAGTGGCCCCCCTTAAATAAAACCTTTTGGTGAAAACTTAAGTTGTGTTTGTAGGACGAAGAATGCCAAGTTGTATCCAAAAAAACGCCATACCCATTGTAAAGCATAGGATTGGTTACATGCTTTTGGGCTGTTCTTCTGCAAAGGGAACAGGTCCACTGATCTGTGGTAAGGGAAGAGGGAACCCGGCCATGTATCATGAGATTTTAGGCCGAAACCACCTCCCATCAGTGAGAGCATTGAAAATGGAATGAGGCTTGACAATGATTCCAAACACACTACTAAGGCATTTTAAGATCCCGGATTGGCATTGCTAGTTTCCAGACCTCAACGTCAGAAAATACAAAATATTGCGTTGAACTTTTATTATTTACTAAATACTTCCACCATCATTTACTAAATTAATAATTTTAAAATATATGAATTTGATTTCCTTTTTTTCTTTTTTCTCATTTTGCCTCTTATAGTTTAAATGTCCCGTATGATTAGAATCACAGACATCTCTTATCCAAGTATGAGAACCTGAACCCACAAAATAGTCCCACCAAATGTTCTTATGAAAGTGCTAAAAAGAAAGGTTTATTTATTTTCCCAAATACTAATTCAATGTGTGATGTTTCTTGTATAGCCTCTTATTAAGCAAAGCTTGACATTGTATTGTTTAACTAACATATTTAGGGGTTTTCTTAAATGTATTTAGGAAATGTATTTGAATATCAAGCACTGATTTCCATCAAATGTCAGAAATTCTATTTGTTCATGGAGGAAACATGGAGGCAAACAGCTTAGCATCATTTCTTTTCGCCAGCACAGTGGCTGAAATTCTTTGGCTGGTCGGCTAATTTAGATGCATGTTTTTTTAATGCTGATAAACTCAGCTTTGGGGTGAACTTTTCAGAAATACCATGTTAGGGGTTCTTCTGTAGTGTAGGGGTTTTCTAAACACTGAGCCTCACTGTTCCATAATGATGACACCGCATAGCCCTTTGTCTTTGCGAACAATGGTGCGCTCTACCGTTGCATTTTGGCTTTTTAACACATTGAGAAGTTGAACATGCATTCCATGTATTTTGACATTGTAAACTATTAATGCATTTTTTGCTGTGGTCAACCCACGCTGACACTTTATTTCACTTAATTATATATTAAGCTATATTAATTTGATATCATTAATAGTATGTTTGGTTCTTTTTCATGTTTTATTTAAAGGATTCTTAAGCACCTTTTTATAAAGACAAAAAAACTCAATTATTTTTAAAAAATTCAATAATGGTATTCTTTCTCTTTTCTCAATTGCCGTCAAACCCTTCCTGTTGACCCAGATATCTATAGATGGATACAGTACTATTTTTAAAGTACTTCTTCTACTTCTTCTAGTACATCTTCTACAAAACATATACGAAACAAAAATATATATTGTGGCCTTTAGCAAAACATTGTACAACAATATTCTATGGTCATATTTGACAGTGACCAGCTTTAAGTTACATCCAGGTTTTAGATACATTTACATATGTAAATGTACATACGAGGGAATGTACCAAATAAGGTCTGCGCAATAGTATCTTAATATTGCTGCACATGTTATCCAAGAAGTTTGTTGTGTTTTAGTTGTTATGTGTCATGAGACTGAATCCTATCTGCTGACTGGCTTCCAAGGCATGCATTCCATAAATTAAGACTTTCACGCAACTCTCCTTTACCGTATATGCACGTCCATATAATTTCTTTTGGAGACAGTACAAATACTATAGTAAAATATGCAAAATTGCACATTTTCAGTGCAACGTTTACAGTATTATCGTCGACAGCATGTATTCCCGCCACTACTGTCCATCTTGCTCTTCATTTGCTGTACAGTATCCTTTATCTTTTATGGTTTTCTCTTCAGATTATTGAGGATGCCTATTCCAAAGTACCAGAAAGGGGACACGGTGATGGGTCGCTGGCCTGGAAGTAGCCTGTACTACGAAGTCAAAGTGCTTGGTTTTGATGCACAAACTAGACTCTATACTGTCATCTACAAGGACGGCACAGAGTTGGAGCTCAAGGAGCAAGACGTCATGGTACGACCACTGGAAGAAAGACCTTAAAACCGCCGTTAATTCTATCCCTCAATGTTTCACCTATAAAGTTTTTTTTTAAGATGATTCAATTCTAAGTTATATTAAGAATCATTCATTTTTTTCATCAAGTCATTTTACTTTCTCAGCTCGTTCTTCTTGCTTCCTTTGTCTTTAGAGTCTCACTAGTTTTCAGAGTCGCTCTCGTTCTCGTTCCCGCTCCCGTTCACCGGGACGCCGTCGAAGCCAGTCGCGCTCTCCGGCAAGGAGCACACGCCGCTCATCCTCTCCAGCAAGGAGCACACGCCGTTCATCCTCTCCAGCAAGGAGCACACGCCGTTCATCCTCCCGTACTGCTGCAGCCGTCATAACGGAGGTCGAACCATCCTCTCGTAGGGATACGCGGCGTAAGGATACGCTGGAAATCAGACTCAGCCCCCTGGTATGTGTTACAGCCTAATAGTCTTCCTTTAAGTTTAAAACGGCTGTGCCAAGAGAATGCTTGAAATAAGTGCTGGTTTTACATTTCTAAATGAACGCACTGCTCCATTTATACTTTCTGTGGAAGGCATACCGATGTCTTTTTAGCCCATCAGGGATACGATGAGTAAACGGGCAGATGCAGGAAGCTAACTGTACTGGATATTATGTTTGGTTTTTTCAAATTATTTGATCACAGGGCAATTGTACATATCCATTTATTGTTTCATCAACAAAAATTTCCAATCAGAAGCAACAATAGGTTTTTCTTTTACAATCTTATGTATTTTATTTATATGATTAAAACATAAGCAATTAGCTATTTGTCCATAGGTAATTATTTAGCTGTATGAAAGTAGCATTTCCTCAAAGTCCTTTTCATGAGGTGTGTTCTGCCTTAAAAGGCATTTTACCACTCTTCGCATATCTGCGCAGTACAGTTCTACACAGTATTTCTGCATTTCCACGAGAGATCGGAAAGAGTTACACGTATATCACCTACCAGTCATGGTTCCAGCAGGGCTTAGTAAGAACAGCAGACAGCCTGGCACTTATTAGCCAGGGTGTCTCATGATTTGAAGGCCATTTTTGTCACTAAATCCCTTAAATTTTAAAAACGTGGCCACAACAAACATCAGATTTATTATTTTGGTAATCATAACTGTTGTAAATGCCTTATACACAAACTAATGCCCAGGACAGTAAACGGTAACAACAATGTCCTTCATTTTTTTGTCTTCTTCTTCCACACGCAAACTTATCTTTAACGGATCCTTCAGCTATTGTCCCTTTCACTTTTCAGATGGAATTCCTGTGTTCATCAGCGTATTGGGGCTATGACTTGATCTTTTTTTCACTTTCTTGTGCATCTTCTGGCATTTCCATTCCGCGTTTGGCACACATGCTGTTTTGAAGGAGCAGCTTTATCTAGTTAGTTTCTAGCTCTGTACGTTTATGTGCGTCAAACTTCTCCTGCATACTTCAACAGATTTCAACCAATGAGGTGTCACACGAAGCAGCTCAGTCATGAGAAGTGTGCTATGTCTTTTAGTGCTTATTTGTCTTCACCTTTATGAGTTAAGCATTTTATGGTGATTTTTGTGGGGCTACAGAAATTCATGGAACTTGTCCTGGTGACTTTTCTAAGTTCAGCCAGAACTTGCAGAATAAATGTAGCAGAAGATGGCAAATGAACATCACAGAAAAAGCTCAATAGAGTGAAAGCTTCCAAGCCTGCCTGAACATCACCATAAGTTTAACAATAAAATATCAATATTGAGCTCCAGATAGAGAGTCCAGCACTTAGCAGAACTTAGCTACTTGGTGTCTGGTTGTTCTGTAGCTCTTTCGGTCACATGTGAAAAACATTAGAAGATAGGAATTTTAAAAATATGAATGGGATCACAAGTAGAACTTTCTGTGCAAAAGAAAGAAAGGTAGAGCTATTGAAGGAAAAGTCAAAGCCCCCTAAATTAAATAAGTTGCAGCTGCTGTTGGAACTAATTTAAATCTGAAGTTTTATTCAGTAGAAATAAGTTTAACTTTTTTAAAACTATTTAAAAAAAAATGAGTCACACTTAGGTGATGGAGTTATGACTTAGAAAGATTGTAAAAGCTTCAAATCCGGCAGCTATTGATCTGTTACTTTCAAATTATTCTTATCACATTGCAGTGTGTTTTTCAGCTAATTATTGCTACTTTTTAAAATATATATTTTAATTTTGTTGAGAATCTTCTAATGCGTTCATTCAGCAGATTAGCATTCTCACAGCTGTTTCTGAGGAACAGCTTTTTCTAGTTGTGGATCTGGACTAAGAATTAGCTGAGATGATATTGAACTTGATTTCAAAGATGGTCAGCTGCGGTCTATTATTGCTCTGAGGCATCATTAGGGGAAAGAAAGAAAAAAAAAAAAATATATATATATATATTAGGGTTGTCAAAAGTATCGATTCTAAAACGTTGTATCCGGATACGATACTAATTTTCAGAAGTATAGATACCATCCCCCCGTGCGCGCGTGCTACGCTGACCACACTGCGCCCCTTCTCTCTGATTTGTTTATTTACGTTGTTTATGATCATTAACGTGGTGTTAGCCTTGAATTGCTGAATTGCTAGCTGTGGCTAATAATGACACGCCAACCTCAATCAAGTACATCTCACTGCAGACTGCAGGAAGCCAAATATGGATATCCAACTCCGCCCACATCGAAGTCGGCCATTTTCATTAGGTCACCAATAGGAAGATCCCAGGCAAGAAAATCGTAATTGCTTCATGGCAATATAGACATTAATTTAAAAATAGTGAATTTAATCTTGCAAACACTGAATTAAACTCTATACATAATATTATGTTAAAATAGTGTATGGTTTGTACAATAAGTCCAAACAACTTTTAGCAAAAAATATTTATTTCTCACAATTATGAAGGGTTAGGGTTAGGGTCATTAATGCGGGCCACCGGCCATGATAACATAAGTAATAGGTCAGTTTGAAACAAAAGACACTAACCTGTCAAAATTCAATTACATTTTGGGGTCTTTGGTTTTATCCTTGTGGTATCGAAATTGGTATTGAGTATAGAATATTTTCCTGAGTATCGGTATCGAGTTGAACATTTTAGTATCGTAACAACACTAATATATATATATATATATATAGATGTGTTTGTGTGTTTGTTCTTCCAGTTTTGTTCATCATAGAACAGTGATTTTTGTTTTTATTTGTAACTTTTTGTTGATTTGTCATCTTTGTTGATGAGCAGTGTCAATCAAGTGGCGACATGGCGACTAAAAATAATTGCAGGAGTAAACTTGAAATGGTGGTAGAGAATAACATTGCTACCGAGCAAAATGTGGTGAGTTTTTTTTTTTTTTACTATTAAAACAAAAAGTTTGCATGGTATTTTTATTTTGGGATTTGTGTCTTTATTTTTGGTAATTCAAAATTTTTTTTTTCCCAGTGTGATCCATATAAAGTTTCAAAAATATTTCAGACAACTGAAGATCCTGAGAAGAGTCGAGGCCGTTATAATCTTCGCCGCAGGAAAGATGATGGAGATATTACAGTAGCTGAAACAAAAGCTGGACACAAAGAAGAAAAGGAAAAGAATATATCTGTTGCTCCAACTGCTGTCTGCACTCCACTTGACTCTAGAGGAAAGATTGGTAGGAAATGTGTTTTTTTTTCTTTCCTGTCAATACCTGTCAATTATGTGCATCCTGGTAAAACTGCTGGTATTTCTATATTGTACGAAATTTATTGTAGCTCCAATTCCTGTTGTTTGGGCACTGTAAAATGCAAAGCAAAAAAAAATGATGACGGTATGATGTAACGGAATTTACAAAAAACAGAGAAAATGTAAAGGTTTAAGAATTGATACCGCATCCATTTAAATACCATCACAACTGTTTTGGAAACTGAAGTTGTGTATGATTAAAGACAGTCACAAATTTGTCATTTTTAGTTACTTAATATATCAGATTCTAGACACATCACTGTCATAATGGCCTACGGTAAAGGTAAAGAGTTAAATCTGTCAACAGAACATAAAAATCCAATCACAATTAAGGTTGTTGTTTTTTTTTTGCAACTTCAATATATGATACTTAATATGTGATGTCTAATTTGTGGCATGATTTAATGGTGCTTTTCAAATTCAATACAGCTTCATTAGCCTAATATGCTATAGTATATTAGCATAAATATAATGACAGACTTAGAGTATTATTGTCTTAACTTATTTTTTTCTATGTAGCTGCACAATTGTGTGTTCATATCTAAAGGTAATTATTATCCACAAACTTGCTTGTGTTGCTTCCATTTGAAAATGATTTGTATGTTTCAAGTGCACTTGCATGCCATTTTTATTGAGCTATAGCTGAATATCATTAATGTTTATATCAAATATCTGTGTTACTGGGTCAACTAGTAACTCGTTGACCAAATCCTATGCTCTACATCCTATGCTCTTTTCATCATTCCTCCCCCATCATTGTTGCTGTGCATAATTTATTTGAAAAAAATCCTGCATTAAACATTACTCGTTGAAGTAATGCTCATTCTGACGATATATCTTTTTTTGATATTAAGGTGCATACGTTTGGCTGCTCTTCCTGCCACCCTGGGTGTTGTTTGTGTTACTCCAAGTAAGCCAAGAAGATCCAAGTCTGATAAACTTCCCCTCAACTCTGCCTTCTCTTGAAACCCTCTGTGATTTCCAAGCCTGTGGCTTTGTGCTCCTCTGGATCTTGTTTCAGGCTTTGCTCTACTTTGCTCCTTTTGGAAAGGTGAGTGAAAAGAGTTGAAATTAGTAGTTTGAATATATAAATGACTCATAACCTGATGTGTGTACTGTATTTATATATATATATATATACACACAAAGGAAATTGTAAACCATTTCATAGAATGCACCTTTCGCAAAGACCATTAAAAAGATTATATCCGTCTTATGGGATCCCTCTGATATATCTGTTGCTGTTAATCATCCCAAGTTGTACATCTATTTATGTTACCTTAATGCTTGCAATATAGTTTCAAAGCCTGTTGATTTCTTCTATGATTTATTCTCCAGCTAAGTGAAGGCATTCCACTTCGGTCTGGAAAGAAGCTCAAATACCGAACCAATGGTGAGACTGTCGATGCTACATTTGCACTACCTTTTGATAGTACCTTACTTATTACATTCTCTTATAAATTTATGATAAATAACATTGTATTGTATGTCTGTGTGTGTATGTATGTATAAATTAGCGCTGGGCATGTCAATGCGTTATTTAGTAACGCAGCTATTGCTTAACAGCAACATTTTAAGAAACTTTTTAGCTCACCTTAAAATATTCCAATCTAATCCAATCTGAAATAAAGTATAAATTAAAAGCGTGCTTTTTTGCCCTGGAAGCAGTGCATAACTTTGGGTTTGTATTGGATATGAAATGATGTAATTTCATTATGTTTGTGTCCATATTACCAATACAAAGAAAGTACTGTAGTCAAAAGTACCTTATTTGTTAAAATATTTACATAAAAGTTTTTCTTATAAAACTGTATTTAAAAAAAAAAAAATCATCTGCATAATGATGCGTTTAATTTGGATTGATCTAAAATATTCATGATGTTAATCGTCATTGAAATTTTTAATATGTATGTATGTATGTATGTATGTATGTATGTATGTATGTATGTAT